TGCGCACCTATCGACTGTCCTATATAAGTAAATAATTTTTTTAGGGGCAATTGGTCAATTGCATTCTTATAGCAGCAAACCACTGATAAACGGCATTCACTAGTCATCACAACAATTTCAGGGCAGAATTTCCCGAAAATTGGAAACATCGTTAGAATTCGTGATGGTGGTTTTTTTAATACTTTCAAAAGCCTACCGATAGGAAAATTTTCAGGCGCTTTTTCTCATTTCTCCACTTACAACCGGAAAGAAAGAAACACGTATTTCAAGGAAAACTTAGAAGGAGACTTACCACCGGTTGAATAGAACTACTCGAAGTGCCCGGTACGGAGATGATCGTTTCAAAGAATGGTACTGACGGTTGTGAAACTTTCACATTATCATGGCCCATATCGTATAAATCAGTGAGACATTTTTGCAGATGAACTTCACCTGGAAAATTTCCAAAATTTTCAAAAATTTCCAAAATTTCCAAAAATTTCCAAATTTTTTTAAAAAATATACATGTTCGAAACCAGAACGCTATATATGCTACATACATTCGAATCCGAAACGCTTCGCAGCTTTAGAGAATTCATAAATATGTATAAAACAAACCAAAAAAAAGTCATTCCCATAAAACCAAAAACAGGTACCAATAAAAAAGCAACAAAAGGATAGAAAATAATCAAAAACTGTTCCTTTTTTCTAATCAATTCCAAACCATCAAAAATAGCTTTTAACAAACCAAAATAAAAAAAATGCAACAAAAAAGTAAACGAATTCTTGGGCAACTTTAAAGCTTCACCAAGCCGACTTCTCGGATAACCTTACCATTAAATCAAGCCTCTTTCCCCTCAGTTTTCTCCCCGGATCCCAACTCTAGAAAATCCTGAAATTTACGCTAACTGCGAGGGAAAAAATACCTGCTGCAAACATCGCTAATTCTCCGTTTTCCTGCTCAATCACGCGTATATTCGAATCCAGAACGCTCAGTTGCTTCAGAGCAATTCGTAAACTTTTCAGTTCGTCCATGCCACCTTCCGGTTGTACGGAT